AAATTCCTAGATAGTTGACAATATACACAAAACAATGTTTAGTCCTATTAAAAATACATTTTAAAATGATCACACACACATACACACACATACACACACACACACACACACACACACACACACACACACACACATACCTGGATGGTTAATATAGTCAACTTCATTGGACTGGAGGATGCAAAGTATTTTGCTGGGTGTGTCTGTGAAGGTGTTGCTAAAAGAGGTTAACATTTGAGTCAGTGCAGTGGGAAAGGTAGACCCACCCTTAATGTGGGTGGGCACCATCCAATCAGCTGCCAGTGCGGCTAGAATAAAGCAGGCAGGAGAATGTCAAATAAGCTGACTTGCTGAGTCTTCCACCCTTGATCTTTCTCCTGTGCTAGATGCTTCTTGCTCTCAAACATCAGATTTCAAACTCTTTGACTTTTGGTCTCCTGGATTTACACCAGTAGTTTACCAGGGGCTCTCAGGCCTTTGGTTCACTGATGGCTGCATTGTAGGGTTTCTGACTTTTGAGGTTTTGGGACTTGGGCTGAGCCACTGCTGGCTCCTGATTCAATGCTCTTGAGAAACAAGAGTTTAGTGACTCTACACAAAATACCTTTGACTGTATGTGGAGAATCAAGGAATATAATAAAGTTGGTTGGTTGCTTCTAAATTCTCTGGACAAAGTGATGAAAGAAAATAATGAGCTTAGAAGCTCATCATTTTATCTGGCTCCAGAAGCTCATACTGAACTTCAAATCTTCTAAGATTGCCCTGAGAGTCTTGTCTCTTGTGGACAAAGGGCTGAAATTGTGGAAAATCAGACACAAGCTTTTATGTGAGTGCACATAATGAAAGGTGCACGCTCAGCCTCACCAAGTGTCTACTGTTAAAGTAAGGACATTGGTTGGAAAAGAATGGGACCCTGCAACTTGAAATGGGAATGTGTGGGAACACCTTGATGGGGGATGAGGCTGGAGGGACTCAGCCCCTAAATTCTGATGAGCCTTTTTTTGCCAGAGGAATCAGTCTTTTCACCCCTGATGGTGGCAATATCCCCTCTCCAACCCATAATGCCATCAGCCTTTCCACCTGTCAGGAGATTAACTCGGCATTGCCTGAGGCAGTTGCCAGGCAAGACAATGCTGATTCTCTTCAGGACACATCCCCAACATGCCTGTCTGCTTCTACACCTATAATTACACTCAGGTCCCAGAGCTAGCCTTCAGAGTGTGACCCATGAGAAGGTGCACTACATTCCAAAAGAACTGCTTGAGTTTTCTAAGTTATATAAACAGAAATCTGGAGAACTGGTATGGGAATGGATGCTAAAGGTGTGGGATAATGGTGGAAGAAACACAAAGTTGGGTCAGGGTGAATTTATTGATATGGGTCCACTGAACAGGTATTCTTCATTTAATGTTGAAGCTTGGGGAGTTAAAAAAGGTTCTAATAGTTTATTTGCTTGGTTAGCTGAAACATGGATTAGAAATTGGCCCACTATGAGTTAGCTGGAAATGCCTGATCGCCCTTGGTTTAAGGTAGAGGAAGGGATCCAAAGGCTTACGGAGATTGAAATGCTAGAGTGAATTCATCACTTTAGACATCCCTGAAGGGCACTTGTGAAGGGTAATCTCCCCAGTGGGCAGAACTTTGAGCAGTGCACCTGGCTATATGCTTTGCTTGAAAGGAGAAATGGCCAGATGTGTGATAACATACTGGTTTGTGGGCTGTAGCCAATGGTTTGGCTGGATGGTCAGAGGGAGGCTTGGAAGAAGCATGATTGGAAAATAGATGACAAATTTAGAGAAGAGGTATGTGTTTGGACCTTTCTGACTGGTCAAAAACTGTGAAGATATTTGTATCTCATGTGAATGCTCATCAAAGGGTGACCTCAGCAGAGGAAGATTTTAATAATAAGTGAATAGTATGACTCATTCTGTGAACACCTCTCAGCCTTCTTCCCCATCCACCCATCATCATCCAATGGCCTCATGAACAAAGTGGCCATGTTGGCAAGGATGGAGGTTATGCGTGGTCTCAGCAACATGGACCTCCAGTCACCAAGACTGACCTGGCTACAGCCACTGCTGAATGCCTAATGTGCCAGCAGCAGAGACCAACACTGAGCCCTCAATATGGCACCATTCCTTAGGATGATCAGACAGCGATTTGGTGGCAGATTGATTACACTGGACTTCTTCCATCATGGAAAGGAAAGTGATTTATCCTTATTGGAATAGACACTTACTCTAGATATGGGTTTGCCTATCCTGCATGCAAAATGCTTCTGCCAAGACTACCATCTATGGACTCGCAGATGGTCTTATCCACTGTAATGGTACTTCACACAACATTGCCTCTCACCAATGTGCCCACTTTACAGCTAAAGAAGTGCAACAGTGGGCTGATGCTCATGGATTTCACTGGTTTTACCATATTCCCCATCATCTTGAAGCAGCTAGATTGATACATTGGTGGGATTGCCTTTTGAAATCACAATTACAACACTAACTAGGTGACAATACTTTACAGGACTGGGGCAAAGTTCTTCAGAAGCTGTATATGCTCTAAATCAGCATCCAATATATGGCACAGTTTCTCCCATAGCCAGGATTCATGGGTCTAGGAATCAAGTGGTGGAAATGGAAGTAGCACCACTCATCATCACCCCTGGTGATCCACTAGCAAAATTTTTGGCTTCCTGTTCCCATGACATTATGTTCTCCTGATCTTAGTTCCAGAGGGAGGAATGCTACCACCAGTAGACACAAGAATTATTCGATTAAACTGGAAGTTAGGATTGCCACCTGGTCACTTTGGGCTCCTTCTACCTCTAAGTCTACAGGCTAAGAAGAGAGTTACAATGTTGGTTGGGGTGATTGACTTAAACTATCAAGATGAAATCAGACTGGGTGTGGTGGCTCACATCTATAATTTTAGCACTTTGGGAGGCTGAGAGGGATGGATCACCTGAGGTCAGGAGTTCAAGAGAAGCCTAGCCAACATGGCGAAATCCCAGGCCTACCAAAAATACAAAAATTAGTTAGGTGCAGTGGTGGGAACATGTAATCCCAAGTACTCGGGAGGCTGAGGCAGGAGAATCACTTGAACCTGGAAGGTTGCAGTAAGCCAAGATTGTACCACTGCACTCCAGCCTGAGTGATAGAGACTTCATCTAAAAAAAAAAAAAAAAAAAAAAAGAAAGAAAAGAAAAGAAAAAATCAGCCTAATACTCCACAATGGAGGTAAGGAAGAGTATGTATGGAATACAGGAGACCCCTTAGAGCGTTTCTTAAGTTTTGCCATGCCGTGTGATTAAGGTCAATGGGAAACTATAACAACCCAGTCCAGGCAGTACTACTAATGGCCCAGACCCTTCAGGAATGAAAGTTTGGGTCACTCCACCAGGAAAAAGTTTCATGATCAACTGAGGTGCTTGCAGTGAAGGGAATACAGGCAAAGGGAATACAGAATGAGTAGTAGCAGAAGGTAGTCATCAATACAACCAAATGACCAGTTGCAGAAACTAGGACTGTAATTGTCATGAATATTTTCTCCTTATTTTGTTAAGATTTTGTTAAGACTATGTTTGTGCATGTATATACTTGTACTAAGAAAATATCTTCATTTTATTCCCTTTATTTTTCCTTTATCATGTCACATAAGATTTAGGGACTTCATTTAGGCATTTAAGTGTTGTTAACTTTATGCAATAGTATTTAGGCTAAGAATTAGAGCACTTCCAGTTGTATGAAGGATAGCTGTATTATGTTAGACATAATTATGACCTTATTATTGTCTTTATTTGGAGATATATAATTTCAGGAGATGTGTATTTTTCAAGCTGACAAGGGGTAGACTTGTGATGGTTAGTATTGTCGACTTGGTTGGACTGAAAGATGCAAAGTATTGTTCCTGGGTATGTCTGTGAAAGTGTTGCCAAATGAGGTTAACATTTGAGTCAGTGGACTGGGAAAAGCAGACCCACCCTCGATGTAGGTGGGCAACATCCAATTGACTGCTAGCATGGCTAGAATAAAGCAGGCAGGAGAAGATGAAAGAGCAGACTTGCTGAGTCTTCCAGGCTTCGTCTTTCTCTTGTGCTGGACACTTCCTGCCCTCAAACATCAGACTACAGGCTTTTGTCTTTTGGACTCTTGGATTTACACCAGTGGTTTACCAGGGACTCTCAGGCCTTCAGCCACATGCTGAAGGCTGCATTGTCAGCTTCCAGACTTTTGAGATTTTGGAGCTTGGACTGAGCTACTGCTAGCTTCCTTGCTCCTTACTTTACACATATCATATCATGGGACTTCACCTTTTGATCATGTGAGTCAATTCTCCTTAATAGATTCTTTTTCATATATGCATCTATCCTAGTAGTTTAGAAAGCCCTGGCTAATGCAGTAGCTGAAGGAAGCTGGAGGTTGCCTTAGTTGAGATGAAAAAGATCCAGAAAATTTACTCAGTAGGAGTCAACAATTCAGCATTGATGATTTTGAAAACTGAATTTCTTAAATATTATGCTTTTTTTTCTTCAGACAAAAGAAATGCCAGAATTGAATAATTCTCTGGTTTGTAGAAACGTTGTTACTTATACTAATTTTGTATGGCTTTTAAAACATATGCTATTAACATTCTGTTATTTTCTATGGGACACATTCAAAAATAAATCTCCTAGAAGAGTGTGACTTTAATTTGCAGAACATATATTTACCTTTTAAATGTTCAAAATTTAGTTGTTTTTCCTTTTTGAGTTTAATTTATTGATTTATTCCCCAACCATTGATTATGACCATAATGTATAACATTACATGCTATCTGAAAAATTTTTCCTCAGTAAAATTGTGTTTCTGAATGTTGTTGATGATATTCTTAAAGGAAACTACTGGTTTATAAGAAACTATCTAATATCTGAAATACCTTTAGTTCCCTAAATGTACTATAACTAAAGTGACAATCCATTCTCATTAGAAAATTAAAGAGTGGAACACTTTTGATGTACATATGGATTTGTAATTTAAAAAAATAACCTTAAGACTTTATTCTACTGTTTATTCATTTTCCATACTGCAATACATTTTTTTGAGTTAAAAATAAACATTAAATTTAGGTATCAGGCAAGAGTGTGAAAGATTCAATAAATAAAACTGATGATAAGTTATATTAAGCAATTAACTATTGCTTTATTTTAATATTTGAGAATATTTTTGTACATAAATGACATTAAAAGATTATCAGAAGAAGAGGAGCTAAGCTGAATGGATTAAAGTCTATCCGCTGAGGTGCTTTCCCCAAAGGCTTCAGAAATGGATTTTCTGTCAAAAACAAAAACAATATCAAAACCAGAATAGTTAATAGTTCAATTCATGTTCCATTGGAGAAATAATTTAATCAATACTTAAATATTTCGATACATACGATTAGATACAATAATAAGTTGTGGAGTCCCTAAAGTAAAAATAAAAATATTTTAAAACATTGCAAAATAAGTAAAGATATTATTTGCTTTTGTGGCTTTTAGAATAACACAATCAACTAACAAAAATTAGTTTGCCTTTTTAACCAGAAAATGAAACCTTTCTAATCAATCTTACAGTACTTGAATATCTTTATGTTGCTCCCTACCAACGGTGTTATGTCAACAAATATATCTAAAACACCTGTTGGTTGAATGCATAAAAGTCAAAAACAGAAATAGCTATAAAGTAGTTAACTTTATTTTTCCCACTCTTTTTAGCCCAATTCAAGTCCCTGAAGAAACGTAATTTCTTCACCTTGAATTTTTTGTATGAGGAACTATTCATTAAAAATTGCATTCATTTCTGTAATGGTCCTTATTCCAAATGTTTATCAATGTTTTTTCCACATCAAACTTTCCTCCCAGGTTTACCATTCTAATAGCATCCAGCACTTCATTAGGAAATCATCTACTAAAAAAAAATAATTAATTTTTGACTTTCTACTACACATTAGGCATGATTCTAGCTTTGTATATAATGGCTACCAGAAAAAAATAAAATCACTTTCATTGGGAAAAATGAGGAGAGAAAAATCTATAATCAATTTTAAAATTAAATAAATAAATAAAATGAATAAAAATGATAATGTCAGAAAGCAATGCATGCTACAAAAATATAAACTGGGGGGCCGGGCGCGGTGGCTCAAGCCTGTAATCTCAGCACTTTGGGAGGCCAAGGCGGGTGGATCATGAGGTCAAGAGATCGAGACCATCCTGGTCAACATGGTGAAACCCCGTCTCTACTAAAAATACAAAAAATTAGCTGGGCGTTGTGCCGCGCGCCTGTAATCCCAGCTACTCAGGAGGCTGAGGCAGGAGAATTGCCTGAACCCAGGAGGCGGAGGTAGCGGTGAGCCGAGATTGCGCCATTGCACTCCAGCCTGGGTAACGAGAGCGAAACTCCGTCTCAAAAAAAAAAAAAAAAAAAAAAAATATATATATATATATATATATATATATATATATATATATACACATATATATAAAAACTGGGTTAAATGATAGAAAATTAGGAACTTAATTATAGTAATTGCTAAAATGTATTGAGAAGTTACTTTTTGGGGGACTCAAATAATTTTGTGTAATGAATCATATTTAATTCTCTTAATCACTTCTTTAATTAAACCATCTGACTCCAAGGTCTATATATTTAACTATTATGCTATGTTTTCTGTCTCTCAAACTAAGAAGGCAACCAAGCTAAAATATGTTTTCTGATAAAGACTGATCAACAAAAAAAGAGATAAAGCACAAGTCCTCCAACATTAAATGGCACCACACCAGTGTTCTGCATTTCACCTCAGATTGAGAAAATTTAAGAATAATCAAAAGGCAGACTTTATAACGAGAAAGCTGACATTGCCTGGGGCACTGTTGAGGCAACTTTAGATGAAGATTAACAAAAGGGACTGAGTTTCTTGGCTCAATTCCCTGCTGGTAACTCAGATACTTTTTCACCAGCAAAGGTAAAATGGTCTGGTGGTAAAGAAAAGTTCCTAGGACTAGAACATAAAAATGTAAAAGTTGATAGGATTATGAGATTTGAAAGGTTTAAATAGGCTTTATGTAAGGTAGCTGGGACCTCCTTTATCTAAACATCTTATGGAAACTGGGTATTATATCTCATTGGAGATGTTTCCCTTATATAATACATAAATCTGAAGGCATGAAAAATCTGTCCTTTGTGATATGTTAATTGAAAATGCTAAATGAGAACTGGAAGGCTGCCTGAGCTCACAGAATATAGGGTAGAAGCTGGAGTGCTGGTCAGGACAAATCCTCCACTTGATAGCTCTTTATGGAGAATTTATTGGGTCTTATGGAAAAATCTGTGAGCATTTCTTAATGACAACTACTAGACTTTGGATTAGAGAATTTCCACTTATGAGGCATTTACTGCCTTGCTATGGGATGTTAATTGAAGCTACCCTTATATTAATATAAATAATGGTGCTCCCCAAATTTTATGATAAAATAAAAATAATTTATATAGGATCTTGCTACCTGGGGATATAAAGAGGAGATATTTATGACCAGAAGGTCTCTTTTTCCCCTAAGTCTCACTCTAACAATGTGAGGAGCTGCGAAACTCTATAGTGCCTGATAAAGAGCTTTCTCAGATCTGACGAGAGCTACTTGGCTTATGAATAGAAGTTCCAAGGTGTACAAACAACATCTTATTTGGAAGGCTGCTGCTCTGGTTAAAGAAGAGGCAAGGAAATCTTTTTCTTTTAAGTTATTTATAGTTTAATTGGGTGAAGTACCCTTTTGTGAGCAAATTTACCTTTCTCTACCTGAGTTCTCCAGAATTCAAAATTCTGATTTTATGACAATACACTTATTTGCATAAGTCTAGTAAGAGTCTTCTCTTTTAAAACAGGACAATGGAAGATACTGGTTATTTTACTAAGGTTTTACCTAGAATAACGTAGTTTTAGGTAAAGTTACAGCAAAGCCAATATGAAAAAAGCTTATATGGCCAATCAATTCTTGTTGCACTTTATGTTCTCAGGATCTCTTGAGGGCTGTCTCATGGGCCACTGGCCACTAATATTTGGCTCAGAATAAATATTGGCAAATATTTTACAGAGTTTGACACTTTTTTGACACATGGCTCCACTGGCCTCACCACCCAAAATTTATATTTTTAGCCTTAAAAAGTACATTTGTTTTGAGAACCAAACGTGATCATGAAAGATAAATGTGTTAGTTTTTAATCATAAATACTTTGGACATTGACTAACAAATTACTTCTGAATGGGTCACTATTCTAACAACTAATAAAAAGAGGTCAATTAAAGCAAATAAAAATAAGAAGGATTTCAATCCATAATTATTTTCAATGCAGCAGCAAATTGGATTATGGTTGTACCTCATTCTTTCTGCTCTTTAGCTTCATAGGGAAAATAATCAGTAAAGAAATCAGGGATCATCTGAGTTTAAGTATTAATACTTATGACAAATTATTTGTATCATTAGATAACAGCTATCAAACCTTGTCCACAGTTTGTAAAATTGAGAAGCCAAAATTTAAAATATAATAAATATATTACTCTCCAAATACAATGTTATGATTTTTTTTTCTTTTTTGCTTACTACAGAGATTCTTTACACATTTCTCTTCTTTTGAGCAGAGAGAGCAAGATTGTCCTTTCTTGTAAGGAGGCATATTTGCATAATTTCCGCTGTAAAAAAGGAAACATTGATTAGTCAAATGGCTGTTAATTTCTCTAATTTCATTCATACATTTATGTAAGTTGGTTTAGTCATTCATTAAGTCATAAATGTCGAAAATGAAAAATAATAATATGTCTCAATTTTATTTTCATTTCTTTTGTTCCTTACAGGATGAACCATAAGGAAGTTCTATTCTTGAATATTCTATAGAACAAGAATGAGATGTGAACCCAGTGTAATTATGCATGTGATAGTTGCAAAGTTTTTATCATAGATAGTATGATTATTTCTTCATTTTGTACATAAAATAAGTAATATTTAATTTGCAAACAAACGTGTTTTATGGCTTAAAGTATAATATCACAGTCCTTATCTAGTTTTTTTTTATTATTGCATTTTAGGTTTTGGGGTACATGTGCAGAACATGCAAGATAGTTGCATAGGTACACACGTGGCAGTGTGTTTTGCTACCTTCCTCCCCTTCACCCACATTTGGCATTTCTCCCCATGCTATCCCTCCCCAGCTCCCCACCTGGCTGTCCCTCCCCTATTCCCCCTAATAGATCCCAGTGTGTAGTGCTCCCTTCCCTGTGTCCATGCGTTCTCATTGTTCATCACCCGCCTATGAGTGAGAATATGCGGTATTTCATTTTCTGTTCTTGTGTCAGTTTGCTGAGAATGATGTTCTCCAGATTCATCCATGTCCCTACAAAGGACACGAACTCATCATTTTTGATTGCTGCATAATATTCCATGGTGTATATGTACCACAGTTTCCCAGTCCAGTCTATCATCGATGGGCATTTGGGTTGGTTCCAGGTCTTTGCTATTGTAAACAGTGCTGCAATGAACATTCGTGTGCATGTGTCCTTATAGTAGACAAATTTATAGTCCTTTGGATATATACCCAGTAATAGGATTGCTGGGTCAAATGGAATTTCTATTTCTAGGTCCTTGAGGAATCGTCACACTGTCTTCCACAATGGTTGAACTAATTTACATTCCCACCAACAGTGTAGAAGTGTTCCTATTGCTCCACATCCTCTCGAGCATCTGTTGTTTCCTGACTTTTTAATGATCACCATTCTAACTGGCGTGAGGTGGTATCTCAATGTGGTTTTGATTTGCATCTCTCTAATGACCAGTGATGATGAGCATTTTTTCATATGTTTGTTGGCCTCATGTATGTCTTCTTTTGTAAAGTGTCTGATCATATCCTTTGCCCACTTTTAAATGGGCTTGTTTGTTTTTTTCCTGTAAATCTATTTGAGTTCTTTGTAAATTCTGAATATCAGTCCTTTGTCATATGGGTAAACTGCAAAGATTTTTTTCCCATTCTGTTGGTTGCCGATTCACCCTAGTGACTGTTTATTTTGCCGTGCAGAAGCTGTGGAGTTTGATTAGGTCCCATTTGTCTATTTTGGCTTTTGTTGCCAATGCTTTTGGTGTTTTGGTCATGAAGTTTTTGCCTACTCCTATGTCCTGAATGGTTTTTCCTAGATTTTCTTCTAGGGTTTTTATGGTGCCGGGTCTTATGTTTAAGTCCTTAATCCATCTGGAGTTAATTTTAGTGTAAGGTGTCAGGAAGGGGTCCAATTTCTGCTTTCTGCACTTGGCTAGCCAGTTTTCCCAACACCATTTATTAAATAGGGAGTTCTTTCTCTATTGCTTGTTTTTGTTAGGTTTATCAAAGATTGTATGGTTGAAGATATGTTGTGTTGCCTTCGATGCCTCTGTTCTGTTCCATTGGTCTATATCTCTGTTTTTGTACCAGTACCATGCTGTTTTGATTACTGTAGGCTTGTAGTATAGTTTGAAGTCCAGTAGTGTGATGCCTCCTGCTGTGTTCTTTTTGCTTAGAATTGACTTGGCTATGTGGGCTCTCTTTTGGTTCCATATGAAGTTCAAGGTGGTTTTTTCTAATTCTGTGAAGAAAGTCAATGGTAGCTTGATGCGGATAGCATTGATTCTGTAAATTACTTTGGGCAATATGGCCATTTTCACAATATTGAATCTTCCTAATCATGAGCATGGAATGTTTTTCCATCTGTTTGTGTCCTCTTTTATTTCCTGGAGCAGTGGTTTGTAGTTCTTTTTAAAGAGGTCCTTTATATCCTTTGTTAGTTGTATTCCTAGGTATTTTATTCTCTTTGTAGCATTTGTGAATGGGAGTCCTCTCTTGATTTGACTCTCTCTTTGTCTGTTACTGATGTATGGGAATGTTTGTGATTTCCGCACATTGATTTTTGTATCCTGAGACTTTGCTGAACTTGCTTATCAGTTTAAGGAGATTTTGGGCTGAGTATTTTATTTTATTTTTAAGTTCCAGGATACAAATGAAGGATGGGCATGTTTGTTACATAGGTAAATGTATGCCATTGTGGTTTGCTGCACAGATCAACCCATCACCCAGGTATTAAGCCCAGCACACATTGGGTATTTTTGCTCATGCTCTTCCTCTCTGCAGTCCACCCACAACAGGCTCCTGTGTGTGTTGTTACCCTTTGTGTGGCTATGTGTTCCCATTGTTCAGTTCCCATTTATAAGTGAGAACATGAAGTGTTTTGTTTTCTGTTTGTGCATTAGTTTGCTGAGAATAATGACTTTCATCTCTATTCATGTCCCTGCAAATGACATGATCTCATTCCATGGTGTATATGTACCCCATTCTCATTTATGGGCATTTGGGTTGATTCCACATCCTTGCTATTGTAAATTATGCCACACTGAACATATGTGTGCACATATCTTTGTAACTGAATGATTTATATTCCTTTGGGTATATAGCTAGTAATAAAATTACTGGCTCAGATGGTATTTCTGGTTCTAGATCTTTGAGGAATTACCACACTGTCTTCCACAATGTTTGGATTATTATGGAGTTTACAATTCCACCAATAGTGTAAAACATTCTGATTTCATCACAACCTCATCAACATCTGTTTCTGGGCTTTTTAATAATCACCATTCTGACTGGCATGGAATGGTATCTAATTGTAGTTTTGATTTGCATTTCTCTAATGACCAGTGATGTTGCATTTCTATTCCTATATTTGTTGGCTGCAGAAATGTCTTATTTTGAGAAGTTTCTGTTCATTTTCTTTGCCCACTTCTGAATTTTTTTTTGGTAAATTTATTTAAGTTCCTTGTAGATTCTGGATATTAGACCTTTGTCAGATGGATAAGATTGCTAAAATTTTCTCCCACTCTGTAGGTTGCAAAAGAAACTGACGATAGTTTCTTTTGCTGTGCAGAAGCTCTTTAGTTTAATTAGACGCTGTTTGTCCAGTTTTGCTTTTTTTGCAATTGCTTTTGATGTTTTTGTCATGAAATGTTTGCCCATGCCTACGTCTTGAATGGTATTGCCTAGATTTTCTTCTAGGGTTTTTATAGTTTTGGGCTTTACATTTAAGCCTTTAATTTATCTTGAGCTAATGTTTGTATAAGGTCTAAGAAAGTGGTCCAATTTCAGTTTTCTGCATATTGCTAGCCTGTTCTCCCAGCATCATGTATTAAATAGGGAGTCCTTCCTTCATTGCTTGTTTTTGTCAAGTTTATCAAAGATCAGATGATTGTAGATATGCACTCTTATTTATGAGTTCTGTATTCTGTTCCATTGGTCTATGTATGTGTTTTTGTACAAGTATCATGCTGTTTTGGTTACTGTAGCCTTGTAGTAGAGCTTGAAGTCAGGTAGTGTGATGCCTCCAGCTTTATTCTTTTTTGCTTAGGATTTTCTTGACTATACAGGCACTTTTTTGTTCCATATGAAATTTAAAGTAGTTTTTCTAATTCTGTGAAGAAAGTCAATGGTACCTTGATGGTGAGCACATTGAATCTATAAATTACTTTGGGCAGTATGACCATTTTCATGATATTGATTCTTACTCTCCATGAACATAGAATGTTTTTTCATTTGTTTCTGTCTTTGATTTTCTTAAGCAGTGGTTTGTAGTTCTCCTTGAAGAAGACCTTCACTTTTTTTTTTTTGTTGTTGTTGTTAGTTATATTCCTAGGTATTTTCTTTTTCTAACAATTACGAATGGGAGTTCATTCATGATTTGGCTGTCTGCTTGTCTGTTGTTGGTGTATAGGAATGCTTGTGACTTTAGCACATTGATTTTGTATGTGGAGACTGCTAAAGTTGCTTGTCAGTTTAAAAAGCTTTTGGGATGAGATAATGGGTTTTCTAGATATAAGATCATGTCATCTGCAAACAAAGACAAATTGACTTCCTCTCTTCCTATTTGAATACCCTTTATTTTTTTTCTCTTGCCTGATTGCTCTGACCAGAACTTCCAATACTATGTTGAATAGAAATGGAAGAGAGGGCATTTCTATCTTGGTATGCCCCTTCAATTCCTAGTTTATTGAGAGGAGGTTTTTTTGACATAAAGGAATGTTGAACTTAATTGAAGGCCTTTTTGGTATCTATTGAGATAATCATGTGGTTCATGTCTTTAGTTCTGATTATCTAATGAATTACATTTATTGATTTGCATACGTAGAACCAGAGTTGCATCCTGGGGATGAAGCCAACTTGATTGTGGTGGATAACCTTTTCGTTGTGTTGCTGGATTTGGTTTGCCAGTGTTTTATTGAGAATTTTTGCATCACTGTTCATCAGAGATATTGGCCTGAGGTTTTTCATTGTTGTTTCCCGACTAGGTGTTGGTATCAGGATGATGATGGCCTCATATAATAAATTAGGGAGGAGTCCCTCCTTTTCAATTGTTTGGAATGTTTTCAGAAGAAAGGCTATCAGCTCCTCTTTGCACCTCTGGTAGAATTTAGCTGTAAATCCATCTGGTCCTGGGCTTTTATTGGTTGGTAGGCTATTCATTACTGCCTTAATTTCAGAACTTGTTATTGGTCTATTCATGGATTCAACTTCTTTCTGGTTCAATCATGGGAGGGCATATGTTTTCAGAAAGGTATCCATTTCTTCTAGATTTTTGAATTGATTTGCACAGAAGTGTTTATAGTATTCTCTGATAGTTGTTTGTAT